CTTTTTTTTTGAGACAGAGTCTCACTCTGTGGCCCAGGCTGGAGTGCAATGGCATGCTCACAGCCACCATAGCCTCAACCTGCCTTCCAAGTAGCTGGAACTACAGGCACACGCTACCATGCCCAGCTTATTTTTTTGATTGATTATAGAGACAAGGTCTCACCAAGTTACCCAGGCTGGTCTCGAACCCCTGGACTCAGGCAATCCTTTCACCTCAGCCTTCCAAGGTGCTGGGATTATAGGCTGAGCCACTGTGCTCGGCCTGCCACGATCTTTTTAACAGGAAGCTGGGGCTCAGAGAGGTTGAGGTGCACACCCAGAGTCAATACCTAGTAAGAGATAGACACTTAACACCTCTGGAGGTAAGTCTGCCTAATACCAAACCCATGTTTCAAAGCCCTCCTGCCAGGTCCAGGAAGCAGAAAATCCTGGGGCCTAATCAAATCTCAACTGGGCCAGTTATGTTCTATGCACTCACGCCAGATGCAGCCTCAGTTTTGCTTTAGGGGGTGGAGGAGGGCAAAAGTACCATCTGCACTCTATGCAGTGTCAAAGTCCACACACAGGCAAGGAGCTGTAAACACTTGTGGCCTAGTACAAGTTTTTCCTGTATGTCCCCTCAAGGCTCCAAACACTGAGACACTGACTTGTAAAGGACAAGGTAAAACTCTTCCGATCCTGTTCCAACACCCCCACCACAGAGCTATCCTATTAGCCAAGAGGTTGAAAGGAAATGGGTGACTCAGGCAGTCTACACTAGCCTGCTGTGACTCACGGCTCCCTGTCCAGCCCCTTCCCCCAATTTTAAGCATTCATTTGGAACTCACACTCACCCTTCAGGACAGCTAGGAGCCAATTCCTCCCAAAAGGGAGCTTGGGGCTGAAAGCCCAGCCTGAGTTCCCCGGCTCCTCATTCAAACCAGCTCAGCACTCAAAGTCCTTGGAAAAGCCCTCTGTTTCTAGGAGCTGAGGATGGCAGGAGCTGAATGTCCCCCCACTTTCCACCCCCAACCCCCATTTCTCTTCTGAGACTGGGACTTATTTAGATTTTTTCCAAGGTCGCCAAGAAAGGTCCTCTCCCTCATCAATGGGCTCTGAGGACAGGTCTTAAAAAGCTAACCTCCTCATTTTAAACCTGGGGACACTGAAACCCAGGGGCAAGGCATGTTTGCTCAGGATCACCTGGCAATGCCGAAGTAGGACCCAAGGTATCTACCTTCAAGCCCAGCAAATTTCCTTATCTGGAATATTCTCGAAAGATGCTCAAATCAGATACCTTACCTTATCAGTAGACCTGGTTCTGACCTTGGGAAGCCACTACATTTCTCTGAGCATCAGTCTTCCGTAAAAATAGAGATAATAGTATCTACCTCCCAGTATCACTGGGAGATAATCATACTAGCAATAAATAAATTTAATGCACCTTTTAGAATGAAGTTACATGTAGGAATTTATCCATCCATACAAGCATTTCCTGAGTACTAACTAGGGAACAGGTATTTCATAAAAACAAATACCAGAGTTCCTCCCCCCGGTGTGTGTTAGGGGGTGGTGGAGAAGAATTCAGAATTTGGTGGAATATATTAATTCCCTCATGAACCATATGTTTCTTCAAGAAAGGGAATGCCTTGGATGTCATCACGGTTTCCACAGCCCCTTCTGAATAGCAGATACTTAATTATTAATCAAATTCAGAACTGGAAAGGACTCCAGAGGCCATTCTGCTCAAACTCTCACTTTACAAATGAGAGATGTTAGCCCAGAGGGAAAGGGACCTTCTCCCAACCTCACAGAGCCTTCCAAAGCATGGCCCAGATATTTTCCTGGTGTTTGGTAACTCTCTGGGCTTCAAGAAGTTCCAACAACTCTCACTGGAAAGAGCTTTAGAGTCCTAGAACCCCTTAGGCTTCCATCCCCACCCCCACTTTTGTGTAATTAAGAGAATTCTCAAACAGACCAGAAATATCCTTAAGCTGAAGTACACTTGAAGGGTGGGGGACACTTCCCCAGAACTGTCTGGGCCTGGTGCCAAGTCAGTGGGCTGTGCCCCTGGGCAGCAACACCTTGTGGGGAGGGGAGCTCCCAAAACAAGGCCGCCTTTAATTGGCCAGAGAGGGAGCGGCAGGAAGGCAGATCAGGGAATGCTCCCAGCTGGACAGGAAGAACAGGTTTAGGATGGCAAGCCCAGCCAAACAGAGGAGAGGGCAGCTGGGTACTCAGCCTAGTTCTCTTCCCAAAACCTGCGGCACTAGGGGTGGGAGGGGACACCACTCAAGGAGAGGGGGCTACTAGTCAGAGATTCCTTTATCCTGGATACTCTCTGCTACCCAAAGTAGTAACATTTTACCTCTCACATCTCACTCTCACTCTGTTGCCCAGGCTGGAGTGCAGTGGCATGCTCATGGACACCTCAGCCTCGACCTGCTGGGCTCAGGCAATCCTTCCACTTCAGACTTCCAAGTAGCTGGAACTACAGGCGCGTACCACCATGCCCAGCTAATTTTTTTGATTTATTGTAGTGACGAGGTCTTGCCAAGTTACACAGGCTGGTCTCAAACCTGTGGGCTCAGGCAATCTTCTTGCGTGAGCCACTGTGCCTGGCACATGCTATGTTTTTTGTGAGAATAAAATGCACCAGATCTGGCATATGGAAAGCACTCTAAAGATAACTGCTATTAGCAAACCCTTCTCCCTGGGCCTCATGTTTCTTCACCTGCAAAAAGAAAAGGACAGACCAGATCATCTCTTCGGTCTAAGTCAACTGTGATTACATCTGATTTTTCCAGGCACGACCTAGGGAGGAGGGAGGGGTGATCAAAAGGGTAAACCCTAGCTAGGTGTGGTGGCACTCGCCTGTGGCTCCAGCTACTTGGAAGGCTGAGGCAGAAGGATGGTCTGAGCCCTGCAGGTCGAGGTTGCGGTGGCTGTGAACATGCCCCTGCACTCCAGCCTGGATGACAGAGTGAGACTCTGACTCAAAAAAAGGGGAGGGGGGTAAGCCCTGTGCATAGAGGCAGGAGGTCTGTGGCATTAGCCAGGAAGGAGAGAGTTAAGGTCAGATGAGATATTGACACCTGCCTCAGAAAGCAGCTGCCCAGGGCTGAAGTCTTCCCCAGCTGATGGATCATCCTATGCAGGACTGACACAGCTCCCTCCCCCAAACCATAGCCTTCTGACTGCCCCTGGGACACAGCTGTCTGCTCCTCACCCTGAAGCACCTGCAGGCTCAGCAGCCCCTGAGATGAAACTGGCATGTGACTGTCCTTGTGGTGACCTCAGCAACCTCCTGCGTCTTTTCCTCTTTATCCCTACACTGCCCAGGCGGTGTTCCTTCAGAACCCCACCCCCTCCTGCCAAACTGCTTGACCCCCAACACATCCTTCAGGGCCTAGTTTAGAGCACTGCACCAGAGAAGCAGAAGGCTCGGGTCCTTAGCCACTAATTTTAGGCCCTTGGTTTGGGGAACTCATCACCTCACTCTGGGCTTCTGTTTCCTTCCACCTCAGAATTCTTTCCAGCCGAAAATCTCAACAAAATCTAAACCAGTCATGAGTTATGAAGGATGGGACACTCAGAGTAGTATAAAGACTAGAAGATAAAAGCATCAACTTGGAAGCCTGTCTGCCAAAATTTGAATCTGACTCAGCCCCTTATTAGCTGTGTGACCCTGGACAAATTACTTAACCTCTCTAGCCTTAGGACCAGATTAAGAACAGCCAACAGTAGAGTTGTTGTTGGAATCAAGCTATTTTGACAAAGCTATTAGAAAGCTATTAAAATAGTACTGCAGAAAAGCTAAATGTTTGCTACCATCACTGCATATCTGGAATTGTGCAGGTAAGTAATTGCTCAGGGTCTCATTCACGCCTCAAAAAAGAGCCTGCAGGTAGATTCAACTTTCCCTTAAGTAAATTCAGAGGAATGGGAGCCCCAGGGCTTTCAAAGGAATTAGCATTAATGATTAAACTCCAGGAACTCACTCCTCCTGAAAATAGGGGATAAAGGGAACAAAGGCAGGCTCTTGGGGGGACAGACTGCCTTTCCCAGCAACGCCCATGCCCCCAAATTCCAAATGTCTGCCTCCTCCCCAGCTGGCTGCAGGGATAGATGGAGCTTCTGCTGGTCTAGAGCTGTGTGAACTACTACCTGGACCGGTGGACAGTGAGAAGAAAGGGTTTCCCTGGGCTCACAGAGGCCTTTTTTCCCCAGCCCCCTTCATCCCACTCCAGGTGGGCACTTCAAATTTCCCATCTGCAGTTCAACGAAAATGAAATTTTTCTTTTCTTTTCTTTTTTTTTGCAAAAAGCAGAGATGCAACTCCTGACCAAGTACTCAGCCTAAACCATTCCTCCCCTCTGCCCTTGAAAGATCAGAATCCCCAACTTTACAGGAACCCTAAAGAAGCAGCAGTCACCTCCTACCCCACTCTGCCAGACCCTTGTGCATACGAGGAAAGAGACTGAGAAGGGGCAGGGCCTTGCCCTAAGTCACAAGTCAATGGCAGGGTTGGGGCCAGCACTGAGGTCAGTTCTCCTCGGTGTGTGAGGGAGGGCCCCGCACAACCTAACCCCTCCCCCTTCCGAGTACACGCAGCCGCCCCCATCCCCAGGCCAGCTCGAATTCTAGAGCTGCCCACTCTGAGAGCCCTGCGGGCGAGGAGGGGGATGCGGCGCTCTAAGCCTGCCCCAAGATTACCAGGGAAGGGTTGAGGGTGTGAGGGTAAAAGAGGTGACACCGGCTAGTCACGTTTGAGCCCGTTGCCCGCGGCTGAGGTGAGGCCAAGGGAGGCGGGAAGAGCAACAGGCTAGGGCGCACGACGCGCGGAGGAGCCAACCCGGAGCCTCCCAGTGACCCCAGAGCAAAGTTTCCAAGAAAGTTTCCCAGGCCTCGGCGTCCAGCTGGGGGCGGCGCAGACCTATGGTCCCCTCATCTCCCATCCCGAGCTCCCAGGAACAAAGGAGCCACCGGTCTGCCCCGCGCCGGGAGCTCCAAGCACCTACCGACTCCGCAGCGGCGGCGGGGACGCCTACGAAGAGCAGCAGCAGCGCGAGCAGGCGAGCAGGGGCCATGGCAATGCGACCGGGAAAGAGCGCGCGGG